ATACTCTATGGAAAGTTGTTTCTAGGAAAAGCATGCAAATATGTGCGGTTTTTCCTTCGAAAAATGTAAGAAATAGAAAAAAAAAATGCAAAACAATCCAATTATGCATGCAGTTTGCATTTTTGATAGAATCCGGACTCTAATAATAATTCTTCTTACAAAAATCTTTTTTTTTAATGAATGAATGATACATTAATGAATTCAGAAAAACAGGCTCTACAAGATTCCAAAAAATATATACAGCGTGTTTAAAAATAAGTGGGATGTCGTATACACAAAAAAATCATAGGGTGTCAAAACAAATTATAGGATGCCATTTGTCTTCTTATAAGGTCACTGGTATCTATATTTATTTTAATGTATAAAGGTTATCGCAAATAAAAATTCGCAAAATCATTTTTTTAATTTTTTTAAGAAGCAGGATTTGTTGGACTGTACTTCAGGGGCGAAGGAAGTCCTGTCGAAATAACCTTCGACCAATTTTTTCTATGTAAGTTTAGCCGGTAATAACCTCAAACTTGCAGCATCAGCCTTCTCTTGGAGATCTACTGGAATATACGTCATTTCTTAGTCGTCATCATTGCTAATGCATTGATTTTTACAAATTCAAATCCAGAAATTATAAGAGAAACTTGTTTTCATGTTTTATTTTCAGAATTGACATGAAAGCCATAAACCGTAGCGCTAGATTTAAAGCCTGATATTCGAAATCTAGTGAAATTAATTAATTTTGATGATGTATGAACCTCATTTATAAAGCGGCTTTTTTTACTCCTGGATTCGCCCATATGTGTAAACTTTTCACTCGTAAAAAAAGACATGCGTTATAAACTTGTTGCATAAAATAGATCAAATTAACAACGGCTCACCGCTTTTGCGCGAAAATTTTTTGTTGAAATAAAATTTTTATTGTTGTAAATATATTATAGGAGGTGTAATACCCTTGAGGCCTTTGCAGTGGAGTGGATTGTAGGAGTGTAATTAGCTTAATAACGTACAGATTTATCAGAGCTGTTTGCTAGTTGTTGGCAAGCTGCCACGTAATTTGTATGAACAGTTACGATCAATTCCTTAAAATAAGGCATTTAGATAGAACTTACCTAACCCCTGAAGTATAATCAAACAAGTACAGTCTTAGATAAGTAAATTACTAAATTAGATATAAAATTTCATCTCGAATTTTTCACTAAGTTAAAATAAACATATGCGTGGATTGTTAAACTATAGGTAAAGAATCAAGATATGCGTTGTTTCATGTGAGTTTTTCCAAAAAAAAAAAAAAAATTAGCAAGGACACATCCATGGTAGAAGGAGACATGGTATAGGCATACGCATCGGGTGTGACGTCAAGTGGGGTGAAATTAGCGCGAAATTTAAAATACAATTCGTTATCCGACAACTAATTGACGTATTGGACAGAGCAATGACAACTGAAGCTGAAATTCCCTAGACTACCCTAGCGAAGCCACAAGCGAAGCTCACAAGAGTCACAAGGTCGTTGATGCCACCTAACGTCACAAATAAATGCGCAGAACATTTTTAAATTGGTACATCGGATGCCTATACCATGTCTCCTTCTACCATGGACACATCTATCAATTTGGATTGGTATATTTTTGTCACCTTGTATAAGCAGACACAGACTACACAGACAAGCCACTGCCCCACCACTGACAAACGAATATAGTCTTTAATTCAAGAGTCCAAACAGTCGATTTCAATTATTTTGCCCTTGAACACAGGAAAATGACGGTTTAGGTAAGGATGACCTTGATTCCGCTTAAAAATTTGCAAAATACTGTAGTGGCTATCCTGTTTAGTGGAAATTTTTAGGAGAATGTAACTAGAAAAACTAGAATTTTGACACTTCGGGTCAGAGATATTGAATATAAGTACATATATACATTTAAACCTCCTTGCTTTGGGTTGACAACATAACCACATATAACCTCAAAATGGGTCCGACCAAGACGTGTGAAGTGCAACGCCACAGTAGATCAGTAACGAAACTTCAGCAATATTTGCGGAACGGGTGTGACCTTGGGAGCCCGTTCCCGGGAAACACGAAGATTCAAATATTTCGTAGCATTCGTATGTGATTCATATAATACTAATAACACTGGTCAACAAAATTCAATTTTTTCTCTCTAACTTTGACATAATTGTAATGTTTTCGTTTAATTTGTGTCTGTGTTTGTAACAAAGGGCATAAACCTTACAACTTAGCTCAATTAAAAATAAAAATGCATATTTGATGTTAAAAACAAAAAGCAGGTAAAACAATTTAATTTTTGTATCTTTAACGGCAAAAAGTGATGTATTAACAAAAGAACAACCATAATTAAGAAAAAAAACAACGATTGTAGTTTAAAAAACGAAAAAAACAAAAGAAACAGCTAAGACCGACGTTTTTTCGGTTGCCTCCTATAGATTTCATTGGAGATCTCTCGCTTGATGGTCCCGCAGTATTCTGCGAGCATTTAGATGTTCCATCGATCTTGGTAACGTTTTTGTATCCACAAAATGCCCAGATGGAAGCGTTCTCTATGTCCGTCACTCACGTCGTCAAAATTTTTGGGGAAAAAATCAAGATGCGAATACATAAAATGCACTTTTAAGAATATGTTAACTTTAAATTTTTTATATGATGATAACATGTTTTCTACTTACTAAACGTAGTTTTCTTATTGTTTCCCAAGAAGTTTGTAGCAATTTGATCACAAAAAAATACACCTTATAGAAAGTTTCCTATTACTTAATAGTACGATTTTTGTATTTTTCAAAGGATAATATTGAAGATTACTTTTAAATGAGAGCTAAGTTTGGGTTTAGCCGTTTATAATATCATTTAAAATTGTTAATTAAATAATAATTGGCTGCTATAATAAAAGTTAGAGTTTAGCTGTTGACCAGTGTAATTGTACACAAAAATAAAAATGGTTGGCATGTACTAGTGACATTGGTGATTTTTTTCTTTCCTATAAATTATTAATATATTCAAGCAAAACATTTTTATTCAATTTTGACGTTTTAAACTGCGTTTATTAAAACCTTAACAAGTTTGACAAATAAGTTGTTATCCACAAGTGAATTGCAAAATTTTTAATTCACTCTTAATATTTTTAAATCACTCACAAAAAAATAAAAAACAACTTCAGGAACATAAACATTTTGCTTATTATTTTTAATAGTTTTCACAGAATACAATTTGTTTACAATTTTCACTAAAAGGTTGCTGCAACTAAATCAGTATTGTTTGACATATTTCTTTGGCTCTGTGAGGCGTCAATTTGGGAATTGTATAAATCCCACACCAATAGAATCCCAAAGAACGTTTCGGAAACTATTTACTACAGATTATTTCGATACAAGTGCAAGAACCAACTGTGAAACACTATTTTATTTGAAATGAAAAATTTGCCAAGGTGTTCTTTTAAATAAACTTCCACAACACATCTTCCCTGTATTCCGGTCTCTTCAACAAACATTAAGTGATGTGAGTTACCGGAAACTCACCTTGAAAGAACACAACTGTTTATGGTATGTTTGTGGATATTCATTAATACGAAAATTCTTACACCACCACTTCTGCGAAGTTTGTGAGAACTTTGCACATTCTTACGAAGTGGTACATCCTGTTTTAATTGTGACATTTTAAAGTTTTCAATGAAGATGTGATTTTTGGCGATTTAATGATGCCACCTGCACATTTTGCAGTTTATACTCCGGTAGTGGGTAATACATTTTGTGAGTTTTTCCCAATTTATGCACTGTATTCGTTAACTGGTTTGCGGCTAAAAAACGAACCATACAAAAATACCATTCCACCACCCCTGCAAAGACTTTCCTCTTGATTACCTCGTCTCAGTTTTTATTAGAGTTAGAATTTTTTACACACTAAAATTTAAAAATAAATCTTGGACCGCTCAAACACGCACACATCGAAAATTAAACTATTTCGTTTAACCTGCAGTTTGTTGACCTCTTTAGCCTGGAATTTTCTAGTATTTTTTACATGTATCGTAAGACTACGTCGTAAGTATCTATTACTTTGTTACAATAAATTTTACGTTTGTTTTTAACCCCATAACCCAACATCCCGTATGATTCCGTAAATAATATGACATTTCTTGTTGACAAAACCAGACAAAACGTTCACCGAAAACCTTAAAATGAAAAAGAAACTATGTTCTTCAAGGTCGGAGCACCTTTAGTGACGCCAGTGACCTCTTTATGTCGTTCCGTAAGCTCCCCATGTATTTCTTATGGAGTCAGCTGAGACTCTCATAGCCCTGGCAACGCACTCCTGTGAGTCCTGCGGCGACAGAATACACAATACAATACAATATAATCATTCACTCACTTTTAAAAAATGTATAAATTTAATTAATAGCACTCATAAATTTTTTAGCTTGTTCATGTTTTTTTTTTGACTATGAACGTACGTACGAACGCCTTTATTGTTTTAGTAAGTTAAACATAATATGACTTCTGCTGATGTATTTTTTTAACATTATGTTGGCTTTTATCCGAGATTGTGTTGTAAAGTGGAAGTCCTCGCGTTTAAAAATCGCGCGTATGAAGTGACGGTTGAGGTAAGTCGTCAATAAGGGTCACGTTCGCTCAAAGTGGGTATGTGGCTTGTCTGTGTAGTCTGTGAAGCAGATAATATTGAGATGTTGTCATGTAGTTTTTGAGGATAATAAATAGATAAGTACATTTTTAATAAAGATTTACCGTGGTAGTGATAACGTTAACCATGTTTCTGTGCTAAATTGTAAAATGTTGTTATTAAATTATGATTTTTTTGTCAAATGTAAACACCTAGAGCAAAAAATCTAGGTGGATTCATAAACTACAAGTACAGTGGTACAGCTGTTTATTGAAATTTAAATGGCATTTATCGAACAAAATTGCTTGTGGAAATGATTTTAAAAATTCATGGCTGTCTATGACCGTGTTTTTTATTACTTCGTTGATATACACCAAATTAAAAAGTATTTGTTTCAATCTGTGTGCTTTATTCGTCGTCTACAATTTTTGTTAAGTAAATTTTACACTTTGGTGTAATCAAGCCACATCCCTCCCACTGGACTTAATATAAAAGATGTTGGATCAAATTTTAGAGGTAACTGTGTTCTTGAATTAACCGAAAATTTATAATTTTTCAAGAGAACGCCTAGTCCAACTTTTGTTTGTAATAATCCGAAGCGCAGACCTAAAATTTAAAAGAAAGTTAGATTTAATCAACCATACAATTTTTTCATACCTATACAGTTTCGAGGACCATCCCCAAATGGTAGAAAAGTACAAGGACGCCGTTTCGACTTATTTGCTTCTGAAAATCTTTCCGGATCAAACTTTTCAGGATTTGGGTAGTATTCCGGATCATGCTGAATGCCCATAATTGGAATAAATACTTGAGTTCCTTTGTCTATGACACAATCTGTCCCCGGAATTGTGTAATTTTTGGTACAAACGCGAAGCAAGTTTGGAATGGGAGAATGTTTTCTTAAAGTTTCTGCAATGTAATGTGAATTTTAGAAATTCTGTCAATTTGATGAAAAAGCGATTTACCATTAATAACTTGCTCCATATAATGCATCTCCATCACAGCGTCGTATGTAAATCTATTGTCATGCTTTTGAAGTACTTCTTCAATTTCTTTTCTCAGCCTTTCTTGTATGTCAGGATTCGATGCCATTTCAAAAAGACAGAAAGTCATAAGAGTCGACGACGTTTCATATCCAGCCAGGAAAAACACAAAGGATTGGGCAGCAATTTCATCCACCGTCAGATTGACTTCTCGTTTAGTATCGTTTTCCTCCCTCAGTACACTATTATCGTCCACCAGTTTTCCTCTGTTTTTGAGTTGCAACAATAAATGCATGAAGTCTTTTCTGTAGATATTATTTTCTTCACGATATTTCACCGTGTCTTTAACTATTTTCATAAAGAATTTTGATAATTTTGGTTTGATAGTTTTAATTTTCAGTTTCTTGGCTAAGTCTGGGAAGATAAAAGTGATAAAAGCGTTCACGTTCTCCCAAAATGTATTGACGAAGAATGACTTAAAATATCGGTTAAATTCGTTTTCCGCGCTCTTCAGTGAGTTGCAGTCTATTCCAAATGCACAATTTCCAATGATATCCGTAGTGAAACGACCCAATATATCTTTGATATCGACAGCTTCCTTGCCTGCAGTTTTGTCCATCTTCGCTTTCAGCTGATCACCGCAAGTAACCAAAGTATCGAACATCATTTTTAACTTCCCTGATGTAAATGTTGGAGTTAATTTTGTCCTAAGGTTCCTCCACTTTACACCTCCCAAGTAGAATAGATGAGCACTTAGTGGATCATTTTTCTCATCGTAGTAAAGGCCTCTGTCGACAAAATTGCCGAAACCGTTTTGTAGAATGCCTCTAATGATGTCTAAGTCTATAGGTATATATAATGGCTTATACATAATACAGAGACCTCCATGTGGTTGATCGTGACTTTTAAAATATTATTTTATTAATATTATTTAAAATAATTTAAGATGAAATCGCTAGGTGATTCTGACTGCGTAAACAGGCCCTTAGCATGCCCAAGTGGAAAACTGGTAGGTGGAGTCATTATACCTTTACGTTGCCAGTAAGTATAGGAATATTTCATCCATGTTATAAAAACTACTGTTGAAGTAATTACCAGAGTTAAAAAGTCTAGTAACCAACTGTCCGTTAACATTGCCATCTCAAACACCACACTGTAACGTTCACGTTATAGAAGAGTACTAAGCACTAATAGCGCTTATGTGCTGTTTTATGGTTTTGTCATATTATCTAATCATTCTAGGATCTTGCGCAATATTTATGTTTGAGCCGAACATTTGTTAATAAAACATAATTTGTAACAATGAGTCTAACCAAGTTGAAGATGCAAGCTGAAATGCATTTTCGACGATTAAAGGTATAAACATTGAGGTAAAAAAAAATAATAAAAAAATCCAACGATCGAGGCCATGATTTTTAGGTAGACAACCAAATATACAACTCTTCAATATTGAGTCATCAAGAAGTCAGATAAAGAATATTCAAAGGATAACGCAAAATGAAGAGGAGACTTGGGGGAAGAAGTAATATAACTGTCGGAGCATTCAGAAAACGTTTGAAGCTGAAATGCGAAGGAAATAAAGGCCTTTAGAGAGGAAAACGTGGATTTAAAAATAAAATTTAATGAACTGAATAGAATAGTTGATAAAGAAAAAATTAAAAACAACGTGGTAATCAAAAGTGTTAAACTGGAAATAAAAGATGAAAATTTCTTGAAAAAAGGAGTAACAAATGCCCTCAAATAGAAGATGAGGGTGGGCACAACATTAGAAAAGAACCTAGGGAACAAAGAGCTCAAGGAAATATGTTAAAAGGTGGAACAGTGACAGACAAAAACTAGAAAAATTTAAAGACGACAGGGGAGGTTGTCCTAAAAAACTAGCACAAGAAGTAACAATGGGAATGAAAAAACTATGACCAACTGACAAACAAACAGGACACGATTAGTAAAGACAACGAATAATGCATAATAAGGTAAGAACAATTACTATTCATCATACGAAGAAGGGAAGTTAAAATATCTGATGGGAGTGATAAGAAAATATAAATTTGACAATCTAACGCTACAAGAAACAAACCAAGTGGGTCAAGAAGTTTTTTAAAACAAACAATTACAAATTTTTAAAAAGTGGGGTATAAAATAAATAGATAGTTAGATACGGACTTCATAATAAACAAAGAATTAAAAGAGGTGATCATCGACTCTCAACCAATGTGAGAGAAAATATACTAAGAATACAATAAAAATATCAAAAGATTACATTTGTAAATTGTATATACAGGGTATTACACGAACGAGTACGAGCTGAAATTCAATAAAAAAATCGTAATACATAGGCAACAATATATGCACGTTAGAGTTTGGGGTAGTTCGGCATGTTTTAGTTAGAGGGCGGTAGTCGGGTTGGTAGAGTAGTGTCCCTAGCTTTTAGAGAGTACCGCAATTGGTAAGGCCGTATAATGGAGTGAAAATGGCGACTGACGTTTTGTCATTGTCAAATGTCAAACATCAGTTATATTATACGAAGATTTTGGCTGCGGGTTTTGTTCAGGTTAATCGCGTCAATTGAAACTGTTGAAAACAACATGCTGAAAGTTCTTCTGAAAGTGTGTCAATGTACTTGTGGTGATTTAAAGTAATAACAACATTAATTCTGATTTACTTTTTATTTATAAAAAAACAACGACTTTGTAAGCTTACGTCGCACAACACAAGTGTCAATTCAATTCAAATCAATAAATTTGCTGCATAATGTAAAAATATTCAAAAGGTGATTCGACCGCCTCAAGTAACCGCGAAAATGAACTCATTAATTCCGCCTGTGATGTGCAATTTCAAATTTGCCGCCGCATATTGGAGTAAAAATGGCGACAGTTTGCGGTACTCTCTAAATCTAGTGACACTATGGTAGAGGAGAGCGGCATGTTGAACTAATGGGGGAGACCATTATGTTTCTGTTCGGTGTAGTGGACGCATGGTGAAAAGACGGTGTAAGTAGCTAGGTTTAAATTAGCTGGTTTGGTAGTTAATAAAAGAGAGGAAGCCCTTGTTTAACGACAATCAATCGTAACGCCGACGGCGCCCAGTTTCCCCAATCTGAGCAACTAATTCTTGCAGTTTTTTAATCGGAAAAGTGTTAATTTTCGGGACCAACGCGAACCACGTGCTGTGAATTTGTTTTATTGTTTGTAAATTCACCAATCAAGTGAGATCGTCAGCTAGTGCTAACACAATTTAACAATCAGGATCATTTAAATAAACTACTTGCTAGAAGATTTCATGATATTCACTTAGTCAGGATAACAATTCTTTGTTTAACAAGTTATAAATAAGTTTCTGGATGCATATATGTAAGTGTTACATTATAACCTTTCTTAATTCTTCACACAAGATTGCTGATAGGTCATTTACGGCAGTTAAATTAACGAAATTCATTACACCGTGGACTGACAGGGGGTTTAAAATAATTTCTTCCCTTAGGCGGTTACCATCGTTATTATCATCGTTATCATGATTACATCACTCAGGCATGTCCTCACAACGCTAAAGATTGCTTACATCACTGAGGGCATGTCCTCGCAACGCTAGAGATTGATTACATCACCGAGGCATGTCCTCGCCACGCTAAGGATTGATCACATCATCGAGGTATTTCCTCGCAACATTAAAATCTACATCATCTAGGTATTTCGTCGCAACGTTAAAATTTACATCATCGAGGCATTTCCTCGCAACGCTAAAATTAACATCATCGAGACACTTTTTCTTCGCAATGATGATTGGATATTTTTGTGTTTATTTATTATGTATTTTGTTAGGGTAACCAGTTCACGGTATTTTAAACCCTCAAAGTAAATTGTTTTTGAAGTAGCCAATCCTTTGGATCATGACATAATTTGACATAATGTAAACTCTTTGTTTGAATCGTTGATAAAGTGTGGCAAGTATTAATCTCATGTAACTTTTGTTAACTTTGCAATTTTTCACCCCATGCATATTTCTTTAACTCACAGTTTTAACCTTAGTAATTTTCTTTGTTGTATAATTTTCATCGGACGTAAATTTCATGCTCTGCAGTTTTAACCTCACATAATATTCACTCTTTGCACAAGTTTATTTCACACCAGCTCTTTCGTTTTTATAAATCTTTACTAGTTTTGTTTTGTAAATATTTTGTTGATGAATGTTTCCACAAGATTGTATGGCGAATTTAAATGTTGTTTATTGCTCTTTAGAAACTTTAAAACTTGTTCAGTTGTTAAAATCAGAGTTATAAGAGATTGAACATTTAAAATGGAATTGAGGTTAAATAACTCAGAAAACATGGCAGAAGCGACGTGCGGTTCCTAGTCGAGCTGGCGAGATCTATCGCGTCACCTGCACAAAGGGTACAGGTTTGGACAGATTCAGGGGCTGTCGCTCTCGGCTTCGTACTAGGTTAGATCCAACTGCGGGTCTGCGATCGTAACGGCCTAGTTTCGGATGGCATGTTCGTCATGGAGATGTGCTGTGTGGGTAGGCTTTGCGATAGGTAGAATCACCGTCGTGGAGGGAGAACAGCGCCGAACGGTAGCCCCAAACTCCGCTTGTGCTAGAACGCCCCAGGGGTAGTTTTGTTATATTCAGATATTTACATTGATTCAAAACATCAACGTAGGGTTTTTGTACTTGTTCGGTTTCCCATATGTGTATATGTGTCAGTTCGCGGTTTTCTTTCATATTTTAAGGTGTTTCATTTGCGATGTATTATATGTCGATAGGGGGCGAGATTTCTAGCCCCCTCCCAAAAATTGTGTGTATTATTTCTTGCGCTCTTGACTCGACAAATTTTGAATTTTTGAATTTTTCGAGGGCCTTTCAAACTTTTTCAAGGTTAATTTAAGGCGTGAAGTTTGGGTTTTCACAAGGTCAAAGAACACTTTTATAGTGAATCAGTAAAACAGAATGTAAACACGACAGAAACAAAAAACAAACAAATCCACCAGATTAAAATCCGCAGAACAACAGGCAAAATACAAAACGAAAATTCGAGAAAATAATAAGCACTATTGAAGGAATAAAGATGTTGAAAGATATTGGAATAAAACAACATCTAAAATGGAGGAGGCAACAAAAGAATGTAAGATATGTACTTTGAAGTTAAAATAGGAAGTAAGTCGTGATATGAAGAAGAATGTAAAGGAGAATTGCAGTTAAGGAACAAAATAAGACTGAAAAAGTTAAGGGAGGAGGAGATAGAAGAAGCAAAGAATGAGTACAAACAACAGAGAAAGGAAGCAAAAGTTACTGAGAAAGAGGAAAGGAAAATACACTAAAGAGTTATTAAAAAAAAAATGGAGAAATAAGAAAGCTGTACAAAAGAAAGAGGACTAAAAATGAAAGGAAATAACATCAACCCAATCTAGTATTTTATTAAGATTAAAAGGAAAAAATCAAACCAGGTTAAACCAGGAAAAAATCATTTCATCATCACCAATTTTTCTTTTGCATTCGTTAAATAATAATTAGTGATGGTAAATTTCAGGCTGTTGGGGTGTACATTGATTATTCTACAACCTTTGACAAAATAAATCATAATAATCTGTTAGCAACATTGTTTAACTTTGATTTTTCTGATTCCCTGATTAAATTGATCAATACGTTCTCATTTGTGGATTAGATTGCAGCGCGCCAGATATCAAGGTCATGAATCGATAATAACTGCTGTATCTCTGGTGTTCCTCAAGGGTTAGTACTGGGACCTCTGTTGTTTGTTGTATACATTAACGATGTCCTTAAATACATTAATTCAAAAGTATGCAGATGACTTAAAAAATTACAAGGAAATTTCGTCAGTTAAAGATTGTATGATTTTACAGAAAGACCTTGATATTTTCCCGCGATATAGTTCCTCCCACTTGCTTCCCTGTAAATTACAGTAAATGCAAGAATCATGTCCATCACTAACAAAAGCATACACTTAATGTTCAATTACAGCGACGTTTCTTAAAATACTTAACATATAGAGAGGACGGCATTTATTCTGTCATAAAATCACCTCATTTGGAACTTCTTGCAAGATTTGAGGTGGAGGATTTGAACACTAGAGGAATAAAGGTTTCATTGAACTTTCTTTAAAAGTTAATAAGTTTGATATCGATTGCCCTGACCTTCTCAACAAATTATGTTTTTTGTTCCTAGATCCTCAGCTCGCTTTCGCCCCTGTTTTATCTGCCAACACCTCGCCTTAATATTGAAAAACACTCACCTATCTATGAGATGTGTGATCAATATGACCTACTTCAGAATGCCTTTGATAAATTTAGATGATTTTTTTTCTCTTTATTCCTCCTTACATCTTCCCCTTAGTTTCTTAGCTTCTTAGCAGTAATTTGTTGTTGGTTTCTAATTGGATTCATACATGTACCAACAATAATATTAATAATAAGAATAAAATAATTACATTGGACTAACAAGGAAACCAGCGAATAGAGTACGAATAAATAACAAAAATTCAAGGTCAGGGACGGAGTGACCCGTTGTCGTCAGTTCTATTTAATTTAATCTTAGAAAAACCAATAAGTAAGGCAAAAATTAATAGAACTGGTAATGATAGCCAAAAATGAACAAGGACTGAAAGGAATTAGAGGAAAAATTTCAAAAATTGCGTCTAGACATAAATTCAACAAAAACGAGGTTTATATCAGGGATAGATCAAAAATTTAGAAAAGGACAACACCTGAACATACCCACGGAAATAGGAAAAGTACACAATTTTGAAGAGATTGAAAGATTGTTAAATAACTCATAAGTTCAAAATATTTTATTTGTCGTCTACATTTTGTTGTTGATTATCATTTAATTTATTAAGTGTCGTTCTATCAATGATAAACTTTATAGTTTGGTGTAATCAAGCCACATCCCTCCCAGTGGACTCAATGTAAAAGATGTCGGGTCAAATTTTAGTGGCAATTGTGTCTTCGAATTAATCGAAAATTTATAATTTTTCAGAAGAACGCTGAGTCCAACTTTTGCTTCTAACATTCCAAATCGGAGACCTATTTAAAAAATGGACGGAGATTTGATCACTTATATAACCTGATTATACCTATGCAAACTCGGGGACCTTCTCCAAATGGTATAAAGGCATAAGGGTGCCGTTTCTTCTTATTTACTTCTGAGAATCTTTCTGGATCAAACTTCTCTGGGTTAGGGTAGTATTCTGGATCATGCTGAATACCCGCAATTGGAACAAACACTGTAGTTCCCTTTTCTATAACGCTATTTGTTCCAGGAACCGTGTAATTTTTAGTACAAAGACGGATCAAAGTTGAAATTGGAGGGTGTTTTCTTAAAGTTTCTGCAACGTAATGTGAGATTCAGGAAAACTGAGAAAAGATGTTTACCATTAATAACTTGCTCCATATAATGCATCTCCGTAACAGCTTCGTACGTTAATTTATTGTCATGCTTTTGAAGTACTTCTTCAACTTCTTTTCGCAAATTTTCTTGCACTTCAGGGTTCGATGCCAGTTCGAAAAGACAGAAAGTCATAGTAGTTGAAGATGTTTCGTATCCAGCTAGGAAAAATAGGAAAGATTGTGCGGCAATTTCATCCACTGTTAGATTAACTTCTCGTTTCTTCTCATTTTCTTCGCTCAATACGCTGTTATCGTCTACCAGTTTACCTCTGTTTTTGAGTTGCAACAATAAATGCATGAAGTCTTTTCTGTAGATATTGTTTTCTTCACGATATTTGATCGTGTCTTTAACTACTTTCATGAAGAAATTTGACAATTTTGGCTTGACAACTTTAATTTTTAATTTCTTTGCTAAACCTGGACTCACAAAAGTGATAAAGCCATTCAGATTTTCCCAAAATGTATCCACAAAAAATGATTTGAAGTACTGATTAAATTCGTTATCTGGATTTTTGAGTGAATTGCAGTCTATTCCAAATGCGCAATTTCCTATGATATCGGTAGTAAATCGAACCAACATATCTTTCATTTCTACAGCTTGCTTGCCTGCAGTTTTGTCCATTTCTATTTTCAGTTGGTTACCACAAGTAACTAGGGTATCGAACATCATTTTTAATCTTCCGGACGTAAATGTTGGAGTTATTTTTGCTCTAAGATTCTTCCATTTTTCACCCTCCAACGAAAATAGATGAGCACTTAATGGATCATTCGTCTCATCGTAGTAGACTCCTCTGTCTACAAAATGGCTGAAATCGTTTTGTAGAATGCTTTTAACGATGTCTAAATTTACGGGCATATATGTTGACGTATGTAGAATGTAGAAGCCTCCATGCAGTTGATCGTGTTTTTTAAAATAATTGTAAAGATTTGAAATAAATTCGCTAACTGATTCTGATTGAGTGACGAGTCCCTTACCGTGTCCAAATGGAAAACTTGTAGGCGGGGTAAATATACCTGTACGTTGCCAATACGTTTGAGAATATTTTATCCATGTTACAAAAACCACTACTAAAGCAGTCAATAGGCTTAGAAAGTCTAGTAACCAACTGTCGGTTAACATCGCCATGTGGAACAACTCTCTGCAACGTTCACGTTATAGCACTGCACTAAGCCCTGATAGCGCTTAAGAACTATTTAATGTTTTTCTCTTGTTATCTAATCAAGCCAGTGACTTGCCTGAAATTTGATACTTGAGTTGAGTGTGTGTAAAATATAAATAATAATTAGTTATTTGCTATGAACTGTAAAATAGTGCCAATCACTATTTATTTTATGATTATGCAAAAATTCTAGAATTTTTCTTATTTTCGCATTTAACGAATTGATTGACGATTATTTCGCCCATAAAGTGCAGTACATCAAATTCAGCTGTTTCAAAAAATCATAAGATTTGATTTTGCAAATTTTATTTTTTTATGATAAGTTTTTTTAATTTAAAATAAAGATATGTATGTAATGTTCAAGTAAAGGTGAAGAAACGTGCTAACGTTTGTTTAAAGTGACTTTTTTCACATATATCAATTTGGATACATGCAGTGTAATACTATAACACCAGTAGGTACTGTATTCTCGAATTTTCGGGAAAATCGAGTGAGTCGTTTTTGAATCTTGATTTAATCAATAAAATAATGAAACAATGTAATACATGCATTTACCAGTAATTTAAGAAAGTTTGTGATAACGCTTGTCGAGCTGTGTACGTAAGAATGAAACAGAGAAATTAAATTAAACGACATTTTCGAACTGCAATAATCAAATCACAACGCGATGGTGCAGACATTTTTATTATTTCGACTTCCGCTTATCAAACAAAACATTTGATTTTCGATGTTGTAATTCACATTTGGTTAATTATAACTTGTCTAGTGTTGAAACGTCGAGAAAATATAACGGACTCGATCACTACAGTTCTCATTGTAACTTCTTGGTCATCAAATATCCGTCAGTATCGAAAAGTCAATGTTGCATAAGCTTAACTGTCAAGTGTCATTGACTGACGTTTTTTATTAAAGTCATCTTGTGTGAAATGCCGTCATTCTGTAAGCTGTAATCTCACAATAGTACCGTTGGTACAAGAAGTTATCACAGGAACTTAGTTTATGCTCAGTAAGTAAAAATGGCCACTCAACAATAACTTGAGTGTTTATGTTTAAAAAAAGAAAGAATGCCACGTAAAAATTAGTTTGATTTGAATGAATTTGTCGCTTCAAAAGAAAGGGTTAAAATTATTCATTAAGCCACAATCAAACAAAATGTTTGCTGTTTCTGATTTAATCCATAAAATAAGTTAAATCATTGATTATCTTCTTTGAGTCACCATTTGTATGCAGTTCTAAAAATATGAAAGTAATAATAAATCACATAAAACTGATTCGGCAAAATTTTGAGATGACGTCATCAATTTTTTTTTTGGGAGAGGATAAACCGATACATTAGTCTGTTATCAGTGTTGTCATTGATGGATGCACTCAGGAGATTATTACTAAAAAGTGTGAATTGAAAAGTCTGCACCCTTTTCGTGGAGAATCTCAATCTAAATAATAACAATAATAATATATTTATTTGTGTATCAAAATGCAAAATTTCGATCATTTAGAAATTCATAATTCTAGAAAATTTCCTTATGTAGGAAAGATTTAATTTTGTTTTAAAGCATAAATTGTAATTTTGGATGAATTAGTTTTAATAAAAAGCATCAAAAGATTTTTTAATAGTCCACAGTAATTGCGTAATCTTCTGCCACGAGATCTGGAGAACATTTTCTATATTCGGCATATATATACCAGTTTATAAAATCAACTCTCAAATACTGCTAGCTGCTATTTAAAATAATTCCGGTACTATTTTTCGAATTTCCAAAACACAGGCTGTCCAAAAGAGACAAGAATTCCCCCTTAGTAGATACGGTTTTAATCTAAGGGGGAGATTCTCGAAACTCGATAAGGCCTTGCAAGGATCTGCAAATTCAAAACCATAGCAACACGTATTGTTGTTGCATTGTATTTGCAGTTTCGATAGCGATTTGCAACTTATCGGAGTTTCCAGAATCTCCCCCTATGTAATTATTTTTTTTTTCTTACGAAAATTCAGCACAGTTTTACTATTCCGAATTTATAATTTATCAAAATAAATTCGTTGTTTTTTGAGTCAAAATATACTGCATATTCTTGCACATTAGAGGAAATACCGTGTTATTACGAGAGAACCCCAAAACTGTACAAATATTTACTTTAATTTCTGATGAAGTTACTTCCCGAGTGTAAGCTAAGGAAGTATAGTAATCGAGTCCATCGAACGAATGGCCACTTTTATATTTTCTCGACGTTTCATGACCCCTAAAGTACGAAAAAAGCAGTCTCCCGTTTCCGTCCGTCTGTCTATCTGTCGGTCTAGTGTCTGTACCCGTTTTTATTAGACAGGTTATCTCCGAAAATGCTAACAGAAATACGGCTAATCTCCCCACCAACAATTTGATGACCTCATTTCAATGAATCGTAACATAAAATGATCTGAATGTCATAAAAAAAATATAATTCTATACTTGAAGTATACGAATCTATTTTCAGTTTTTTCGTTAAACGTTCATATTTTCGCAAAAACATTTGCAAGCTATGACAACGTTATATTACGACCTCAGGATATAAGTCTCTTTGGCGCAGTGGCTATATCGGGGAAAACGGAAACCTGGTAATACACTGTGCCAAATTTTCTTTTGTGCTATGACTAGTATAATTTATGTTGATGACGTCAGCACATTTTTTTTTGGTCAAATTAAAGACGAGTCACCCCATTTTCTCTAAAATTTGAAGAATACTACGTCTTTATAACATAATGACAAAATAGGAATGATAATATTCAGAACATGTTGTTCGATTGTGGTGTAATAATAATAATAATAATACTTTTAGTCCTCTGTTTTGAGAAGACTAAGCCATTCAAATCAAACTAATTTCCACGTGACATTCTTTCGATGTATAAACATAAATAAACACTTGAGCTTCAGATTGCTATAACCATCTATTACGTAGTGCTAAATGACATTTTATCCCGTTACTTATGTGTTTTAAATATATTTTCACTTTTCGAGATGGAGCTGCGGGGGTGTTATTGATGCCGCTGGTTTTTACTTCACAGGGGTTATCACAAACCGAAAAGCGCAGTATCAAATTTTATAATTTTTTTTTAATGGCTGGATTTGTCCGAATATACTTATAGCCTTCGACCAATTTTTTATTGATCAAATTAAGAGCCTCATTTTCTAGAAAATATGAGAAAACCAACGTCTTTATTTAATTATATAATTATTGTATTCAAAACATTTTTATCACTTTCTGGCTTAATTATTAATTTTAGTCCTCTATTTTGAGAAGACAACTCATTCAAATTAAACAAATTTCCACGTGACATTTTTTCGATGAATAAACATAAACAATCGAAGTTAAGCATGTACGCTGATAATAATACAGTCTTTTCCGTTAGTTATTTGCTTTTGAATATACTTGATATTGTCCGTATGTCTGCGGACGGCATCCCCTTGAAATTTGCGCCCCCGCGGCGCAGGGGTTCGAGTTGTCATTCGTATCACTAATTGTTGCTATGTAAAATATATGAGAAAACAAAAATTTTGTATCATTTTTAAAAGAGGAATTTCTTGAACTGTACTTCAGGGGCGAGGGAACTTATGTCGATGTAATAACCTTGGACCAATTTTTTTTTCTCTGCCTTTACTTCACCAAATTACGTAGGCATCTCGTTTTTTCGAACATACAACTTGTGTCACCTACAATTTCGCGTTTTAGTATAACCTAAATTCTGTTTTTTTTTTTTGGAAGTTTTTGGCAATGACACGTCGAGAAAATATGAAAGTAGTTATTATTACTGGCAATTGGAAAAGCATCGTGTGACAATGCAAAATATTTGAAATTGCCTAATACTAATACATTTAGGCGTTCCTCAAATACTAACGTCATACAGAAATCATTAACAGATTCAGTGAAAGTGGAGTTTGGCAACTTAACGAATTCTAATATTTCTATTAATAATAATTATATACATTACAATAAAGAAAATTAATCAATTATTTTTCTATATAATTTCGTGTTTATTTAATGAAACAAAGTAATGTATTTGCTCTAGATTAGGTCGTAGAAAAGTATAGTGTCCAACATACGTGAAGAATTTTTTACTCACTTCTGGTTTGCAACACTCGCCTACGACTCGTGTCGCAAGTTCCATGGTTGTGTAAAAATTCTACTTGCTACATTTTCACACAGTATAATTTATGACTAGCATATCTTAAAGTAGGTAATCAGTAATCACTGTGACACTACAAAATATCTGCAAAAAAGGTAAGATTATCTTTTGTGGCAGATTAGATTATAGCGTCCGTTTTGCTTTAATATAAAAATAAATTATCCATTTAACAAGAATTATTTATTTTTGTCTCATACAAACATTGCCTTATTTTTCCATATAGTCTCCATCTATTGCTAAACATTTTTCACAGCGTGGGACGAGTTTGTGTATACTGACTGCATAAAACTGTAAGCAGCCGTTTATTTAGAATCAATAATTTTTTGTGATGGTTCTGGAATGAACACTTTAATAATTTTCAGCTTGGAAAATATTATTTTTATCGGACTAGTTCAATAAATTGAGCTTGAAGTGTTAGACTTGTTATGATGTACATGAATTATACAATTATATGCTGTTTGCCAATTCCGAACTTTCTTCCTGGTCCTATATTTTTTCGCCGTGTTAACTTTTTCTGAATGGAATTTTCCGACACTGATATAGACTTCCACCCTCCGTGTCTTTTGACGTCAGATAAAAATGTTGTCGAACTACGCCGAAAACAGTGACCAGTGAATTTTTCCGGATTTTGTAATTTCAACCAGTCTGCTATTTTACTTGGCCTTTTAGCTAAAGTGTGAATTCCAATTAGTTGGGTTTACAATGTCTTTTCTTGTAAAAAATTAAGAGCTGATTGCCGGGGATGTGGGCTGGTCGTATCGCAGTGTTTGCGACAAGGTATAAATGAAGATTTTCTTTTCCTCCGCTAACGAGGAATATTCTGCCCATGTAAATTTTCGTGTCACCAACGTTTACAATTAGCATTGAATCCTTTCATTTTTGCCAATTCTTCATTATCAGCACCACCCCTTGACAATCTACTTAAATAATTAGTAGTAATTAGTAGTCAGGATTTACTTGAGTTTTCATATTTCTGGTAGCAGTGGACATATTCTCTTTTCAGAAATTTTTAACATTTCGGCCGCCAGTTCGGTTTTTTCTTTTTTTGTACAACATCATGGTTTCTTTCTAGATAATCCAACACATTTAATATAACTTTTTTGTGTGATCACTAAATCGTTTCGTTGCTCAAAATTACATAGAGTAGTAAAATGTTAAATAAATCAAAGATTCGGTTTGACCATACAATTCCCGTAACAGAGAAGATATCACTTGCCTTAGTACGTTTTAGCGCAGTAGTATATAAGCAGGGCTGACGTCAACCCCCACGTGACGTCTGTCCTTGAATCTACATTGCTGGTTGCTCATCACCGGTGCGCTGCTGCTTGAGGACCACCGGCGTACGAATCTGGGTTGTGTTTTTGAATCTTGGTAATTCGACTTAGATATTACAATATATATATTTTGAAGGGATTTTGAATAGAATGTCACGTTTGGAGAAAAAAGTCAAATACAGTGCCAAGTGCAGGATTTGAAACTGCGCTCGTTTTCCGAACCAGAACTTAAGTCTGCCGCCTTAGACCACTCCGCCAACCTGGCTTGGAGTCGAAACGAATTAAAAAATTAGATAAAAAAAGTTTCAAATTTCCAGGTCAGTAATTTTGTTTGGGTATAAAACTACATTCTGATATAATTTTAATAAATTGTTATTGTCCTGTTAATATTATTTTGACAGTATATATCAATCCCTTGCTCATTTTCATCCCGAAATTCGCGAGAAATTCTAAACAAAAACATCGTTTTTCCAAATTGAAAAATGTTTATTAACTGCTTGCTAAAGTACACATATTTTTTATTATTTCAGAGCCCAGTGCAGGTATTAAATAAAACTATAAATTCTTTAGTTAAAAGTGAAAAATTTACGAATTTACGGCTACAAAAAACAATGTTATTCCTGACTAGATACGTAAATAACTATTTACTGCATAAGTAAGTATTATCGCAGTATCTCACAATAACGTATAACCTCAAGATATATTGTATTTGTTTTCGTATACACAAATTTTCAAATTTTATAGTTTTATGTAGTCAAGCCACATTCCTCCCACTGGACTCAATATAAAAGATGATGGATTAAATTTTAGAGGTAATTGTGTCTTCGAATTAATCGAAAATTTATAATTCTTCAAGAGAACGCTGAGTCCAACTTTTGTTTGTAACATTCCGAATCGGAGACCTGAATAAAAAAATATTAGATTTAATCATCCATACAATTTTGTCATATACCTATACAAATTCGGGGACCTTCACCAAATGGTAGAAAAGCACACGGGTGTCGTTCTTTCTTATTTACTTCTGAAAATCTTTCTGGGTCAAACTTTTCGGGATTTGGATAGTATTCTGAATCATGCTGAATCCCCATAACTGGAATAAGTACTGCAGTGCCCTTTTCTATGACAAGATTTGTTCCAGGGACTGTGTAATTTTTTGTGCATATACGACTCAAGTTAGGAAGTGGTGGATATTTTCTTAAAGTTTCTGCAACGTAAACGTGAATTTTAGAAACTTGTTTAAAGTAAAGAAAAGGAAATTTACCATTAATAACTTGCTCCATGTAATGCATCTCCATAATAGCATCGTATGTCAGTTTATTTTCATGTCTTTCGAGTACTTCTTGAACTTCTTTTCGCAGTTTTTCTTGTATGTCAGGATTCGATGCCAGTTCAAAAAGACAGAAAGTCATAGTGGTCGATGAAGTCTCGTACCCAGCCAGGAAAAACACAAACGATTGGGCGGCAATTTCATTCACTGTTAGACTAACTTGGTGTTTTTTCTCATTTTCTTCACTCAATACACTGTTATCGTCCACCAGTTGTCCTCTGTTTTTCAGTTGCAACAGTAAATGCATGAAGTCTTTTCGATAAATATTATTTTCTTCACGATATTTCACCGTGTCTTTAACTACTTTCATGAAGAAGTTTGCTAATTTTGGTTTAACAATTGTAAGTTTTAGCATCTTGGCTAATACTGGGGCTATGAAACTAATAAAGCCGTTCAAGTTCTCCCAAAATGTGTTCAGAAAGAATAACTTGAAGTATCCATGAAATTCGTTATCCGGGTTTTTCAATGAATTGCACTCGATTCCAAAAGCACAGTTTCCAATGATATCAGTAGTGAACCGACCCAACATATCCTTCATTTCAACAGCTTCCTTGCTTGCAGTTTTGTCCATTTCCGTTTTCAGTTGATCACCACAAGTAACTAAAGTATCGAACATCATTTTTAATCTGCCGGAAGTAAATGTTGGAGTTAATTTCGCCCTAAGGTTCTTCCACTTTTCACCTTCCAATGAGAATAAATGAGCACTTAATGGATCATTGATCTCGTCATAATAGGCTCCTCTGTCAATAAAATGCCTGAAATCGTTTTGGAGAATAGCTTTAGTGATGTCTAAGTTTATGGGCATATAAGCTGGTGCATTAATAATAGTTAGTCCTCCATGTGGCTGATCGCGTTTTTTTAAATATTTATAAATATTTAGAATAAAATCGCCCATTGATTCGGATTGAGTGAATAAACTCTGACCGTGTCCAAATGGAAACTTCGTAGGCGGTGTAGATATACCTTTACGTTGCCAGTAAGTATGGGAATATTTTATCCATGTTAAAGTAACTGCTAATAAAGTAATAAACAGACTTAGAAAGTCTAATAACCAATTGTCGGTTAAAATCGCCATTTCAAATACTACACTGTCACGTTCACGTTATAGAATTATACTGAGAATTATCAAACCTACAGTTACTATTTATCTTTTTATCATGTTATCTAATCAGAACTGTGACTTTTGTGATAATGAATTTTTAACACTAAAATGTTTGAATATGGTTTATGAAAATGGTTTCGTTCACTATGTATTTACAAATATGTCTGAAACTAATTATTGTGATTTAATACGTTGAAAAAGACATGGTCTGCCTATTGACCATTAACTCACTATCTCCATTTACTGCCGCTTTTGTAAATGTCCTTCTTCCCTTCTTATGGAGAGATATCACAAAAATAATTAGGCATTAAGTTATATAAGAATCAAATTTTACGTTAGTAAAAAGACAAAATAAATATCAAGATGTAATCAGTTCTTGAGGCTTCTAGTACAGGGAATTATAAGTAAATCCTTATCCATTCCCAGTTTGTTTATGATAAATCCTTCTTTTACGGGATCTGTTAAGTCCAACCGGGAAACTTTGATTGCCATGATAAGCTTATATATTTGTCTTTCCAAATTTTGTTTTAATTCGACGGGACTTAAAGCAGTAATAAATTTTACGTTTATCTGCGAACATTTTTAGTTTTTCTAACATATCTTTGCTCCGTAATTTTTTTTTTTTAGTTTTCGGTGGTTAAATTGTCATTAATAATTGTGTGCCTGATGCCAAATTTCTATTTCATATAATTGGTGCTATTTCTGCAGGAATCAGTTGGTTACTGCAATACGTAAGTACAAGGTTTTTCGGAACTCAATGACACCAATTTTTATAGAAAAACATCACGGCAATTTATTGATTTTATTCCTCCGTTTAATCCCAAAATTACCTCCCGGGGCAGTACTGTCTTGTTTGTCAGTCACCTCGATAGGGCCTGAAGGTGCGTCGCTGTTAATAATTTCTATAAATATATATTACTTATTTTGCTTATTACCTAAACCCTCTTTTCACCAATAATCATGAGTAAATGTAGCAACTGTAGCGAAAATATTAGATAAAACGCTTCAACGAACAGAAATGACACAACAAGATATCACATATATGTCTTTTTTAAAAGGTCTTATAATGTTGTTTAGTGATCTTCGTACTGAATTTATCCATAGAGAGTTTTAAACGTGAGTTGGAAGAGCAAATCATCAGCGCAAAATCTATCATAAATTAACAACCTCCAGGGTCACAATCATTTGAAGACGTTGTTCAAAAATTGTTAGAGCGATAAAAACGCAGTTCCAATATTATAGTTTTCAACGTACCTGAACATTCGGAACCCAGCCTTGCATTTCAAAAACAAATAAAAAATAAAATTTGAAAAAAAATCAGAAAATAGAACTTGAGTATTCCTAGGGACAGCCCAAATTTCAAAAAATATTTAACAAACCGTTCTTCCTATATTCAATTGCTTCTATACTTTTTAGCGACCATGTATATACCAAAAATTTTGCCGTTAACTCCCAGTAAACACAGTTGTGATGTTGACGTGACAGGTACGTACTCACAAAAGAACAATAAGTACATCGCATGATTATGTCTTAACGATATACCTGGAACGTAAGCTATATAACATCACAATGGAGTACTCATGCTATGTAACAAACACGTAATGTTGACTACATTTACTAGATATCTCATTATTATGTCGCAGCGATATAGCTTGCATATAAACATTTAAACATCACACTGTGGTACTCTTGTTATGTAACTAACACCTAATGTTAACTGCATTTACTAGATATCTCATTATTGTGTAGCAGCGATATAGTTGGCAGGTAAGCCTTGTAACATCACAATGGAGTATGTAACCAATAAGTAATGTTAACTGTCGTTACTAGATATCTGATTAATATATACATATACATTCTTCGGAATGTTTTATTTTTATTAGTTAATTATGCAAAGTGTTTTTCAGTTGATTTTACAAAATGGCATGTTAAATCGAAAATTAACGTTTCTGACAGGGCAACAGCAAAAAATATTTAAAAACATACATATCGAGTATTATATAGCTCTATTTTATATTTATTATTTATGTTTGTGTTGCAAGTAAATAGCATATTCATAAACAAAAGATGCTGAGTCTTAAAAAAAGAAATTTCTTCCCTGTCTTAAATCTTGCACAAGCGAGATGACGCCAATAGTGAGTTGCTCTTAATTTTTTTTTTCATATTATATTTCCTGTAATTATATTTATTTATAATTTTATTTTTATATGTCCATAACAACCTGCGCTTTATAAAACAGAACAAGAGACTTAATGCACATAGTTTATGATCAGAATTAAAAAATGTCCCATCTAACAGGTAATACGAATTAAGACTAGTAATGAGACATTATTTTTTAACCTCTGCCTATACGTCACTGCCAAAAAGGAACAATTATACATGTACAGAATTTTGAAATGAGCTCGAAAAATAAAATGATATATTTCCTTATTTTATTAATTCTAATCCAAAATATGTTGATCGGCAACAAAAGAAACAAAAAGAAAAAAATCGAAATTAAAAAACTAATCTATTTCAAGGTTAGCGATATCGTTCTTAAATAAAAATGAATTAAATAATTTCTTCACTTTGATCGTAAGGAAAACAAATAATAATTTGAATACGAAACAATAATTGATCATCGAGTTTTGTGTATTGACTTTCGCACTCAGTTATAGGTATATCTGTTTAACATTAAATTTTCAAAAGTTTAGATTTTTCCAATGTAATCTTGGGCTCTAAAATAAACTGGTAATGTATAATGTATAATTATAATTGAGTATTTTCGTGGTTGATCTTTAAATTATTATTTATTCAAAAAATTCACTTAATTTCATATCCAATATGTAACTAACTGAAAACTGCTAATAAAGCAGCAGATATGACGAAATAGTGTAGACTTTTTTTAATGTCGGTAATAGAGTGTATGTATAATAAGAAGAGAGCGGAAAATATGCAGCAAAATTTTGGGAAATATGATCATATGACATGCATCAAATTTATGCAAATATGCAATAACTTTCTTAATATATGCAGAGATATGCAGTTGCATATGCTCCAAAAATAAAAAAAAGCGTAATAACCGAACAAAATTGATTTACAAATTGCAAAAACACCTTACCTTTTATTACAAAAAATACATAAATCACATTGCAAAGTGTTTAATTAGATCTCACTGACAAATAAATGACATTTTTTAAGATAATATTCTTATACTCAAAAATAAATATAGGTAAACAGAACGAATTAAAAAATAGTAGTAATCGACTATTTAATTACTATTTTGGTAACAATTTATTTTTAAATATTTTTCGAAATATTCTAACAAAAATTTTTCCGGTGATTCTAAAGTATGTATTTGTAAATAGAAAAACTGCGTACTGCGTCCACAGATGTAAAAATACTTATCGGATTAGAGCAAGCACAACAAAACACAGTTCCTTCTTGAAGAATAAGTTCAGGAAAAGGTTTAATGCATAAATTAATTTGAGTTATCTACATATTGACACACATCTCTATCGCTTTAAACACTTAAATGCAAACTCACGATGAAAAATAATAGGATAACGTCCCTTCGACCACCATAAAACATACCATTAATACACTTAAGTAACGAACAATAGTTATTTATTATACAAGCGGTTAAAGTGAATGTTTAATGAGCGGGTTACACATTCATTTTAACCGCGAGTGTAATACAAACTTTTATTTAATTTTGACAACCCCAAGTCCCAAATTGTGAAAAAATTGGTGATTCAAAGTTCACATTCGAGAAACGTCAGAACTGACAGCGACCAAATAAAAATTTTATATGCTTAGAATTTAGGTTACAATATCAGGTGTGTGTGCGTAGTATGTGACTCTGGCGACGGTGTTTGTTTATTTTAAACAAACTAAAATTATCGAAAAATTGCAAAATCATGCAAAATTCCAACGACAAAACTTGCTCCCAGAAAAGAGGAAATCAGAAAGTGTATCAAAAGTTCCTTAAATGAAAAGAGCAGCAAGGCACTGGAGAAATTACAGAAATGGTAACCATGGTTTTAAAACAGCAAAATAAAAATTTTATTTCGCTAGCGGTTTAAAAATTTTATGGCGCTATCGGATAAACCAAAGCTTTAGTGGCCTACTGACGGCAAAATAAACGTTTGTTTACGTGTCAAAATTGAATAAAAATATTGAAATGAAGGGTATTTCCAAAAGTAATTAGGACCCGAATTTACCTGGAAGGATGGCTTAACACCCAGTGGTTCCTCCAAACTACCATAAAACCCAAACTTTCCCAGTTATTTGCAATATGATTCATGAAATTTCGTTTTTCTAGAAAAATGCCGATCGAATGGCTTTTTTTTTTCAAAGTAGCACAAAAATTGATAAAAATGCAAAATATGGACCCGTTACGTGAAATATGCAGCAGAAGGCAAATATATGCAAATATGCAATTTTTTTATAGCTGTATTCATTTTTAATTAGCATGATTCGTTCACATATTAAATATCAAGACTTATATGCAAAAAATAACGGATATGCAAATTTCATAAAATCCGCTCTCTAATAATAACCAATTCATCCGGTATGTTTCTGTTGTTGTCTTCGTTCGACACCACTGTATTTACAGTATTTAAGCAGGTATACGTTTCCGCCCCTAAAATCCCACGAACGGCATCCTTTGCCCACGTAAATACAGTAGGTACCTGAAATGAAAACAAAAACAGAAATAGTTTTACAACACCTTATCAAAATTTAAAAAAACCACTATGGTATTATTTGAAATTTATTGTTAAAGATTATATGGTCAATTAGATGTGGGTCGTCGTATTCTTTAAAAAGTGACCTTCGTCAGTGAGTTCGTAATGCTTAATTAATAATTATATTCAGAGCGAAAAATACAACGGCTTTATTAGAAATATACCAAAGACAAGTTCTTTTCATTGTAATAATTTCTAAGAATTATTTCTGTAAACTTGTTTACTTGAAATGTTATTTTGTAAGTACCTGCTTGGCAAATGATAAATAGAAC